CAGCACGGCTCCTCAGGCGGCTCGGGCGGCTCGGGCGGCTCGGGCGGCTCGGGCGGCTCGGGCAGCTCGGGCGGCTCGGGCGGCTCGGGCGGCTCGGGCGGCACGGGCGGCTCGGGCTGCTCGGGCGGCGGCTCGGCCGCAGCTCAGCGGCGGCTCGGGCGGCGGCTCAGGTGGCCCGGGCGGCGGCTCAGGCGGCGGCGGCTCGGCGGCGGCTCGGCTGCTGCTGGGCGGCTCGGCTGATGCTGGGCGGCTCGGCGGGGCCGCGTAGCAGAGGGCGGCCGGGCCGCGTAGCAGAGGGCGGCGGGGCCGCGACCGAAGAGGGCGGCGGGGCCGCGTAGCAGAGGGCGGCGGGGCCGCGTAGCAGAGGGCGGCGGGGCCGCGTAGCAGAGGGCGGCGGGGCCGCGATCGAAGGGCGGCGGGGCCGCGTAGCAGAGGGCGGCGGGGCCGCGTAGCAGAGGGCGGCGGGGCCGCGTAGTAGAGGGCGGCGGGGCCGCGTAGCAGAGGGCGGCGGGGCCGCGTAGTAGAGGGCGGCGGGGCCGCAATCGAAGGGCGGCGGGGCCGCGTATCAGAGGGCGGCGGGGCCGCGTGGCAGAGGGCGGCGGGGCCGCGTAGCCGAGGGCGGCGGGGCCGCGATCGAAGGGCGGCGGTGGGGCCGCGTAGCAGAGGGCGGCGGGGCCGCGATCGAAGGGCGGCGGGGCCGCTAGGGAAGGGCGGCGGAGCCGCTAGGGGAAGGGCGGCGCAACGGGCCGCTAGGGGCGACACGACGGGTCGCTAAAAAAAAGCGCGCCTCGGGGCGCGGTTCGGTGGGCCCTAGAAGCAGTCCCTAGGAGGGAACCTGCTCTGATTCCATGTGGAAACAAAGAACGAGAATGAATGACTATGAAGTGAAGTGAATACAAATAGGAAACCCTAATGTGTTGTACCCCCTATGGGATACCCCACTATAGCCTACACAAACAAGTAAGCTATATGTTCTGACAGTATCCGTGGGTGAATAGTCCAGTTAAAAGCGGGTTGGTCTGGGCGAGTAGGATGGCGTGGAGTTGGGCGGTGGGGCGGGTGAGAGCGTCGGCGATGTTGGATGCGCCTTTTTTGTACGTAACGGTGTAGTGAAAATTGGACTCGAGATAGTCCAACCAGCGAATCTGTCGTGGGTTGAGATTCGGTTGGGCGCGAAGGTACTGTAGCGAGCGGTGGTCTGTCCGTACTGTCACGTCGGCGCCAGTCAGGTAACATCGCCAAACTTTGAACACGTGCACGATCGCTAGCATCTCGCGGTCGTGTATCGGGTAGTTACGTTCGGGCGGGTGTAGTTTGCGGGACTCGTACGCGATTCGCTGGAGGCCGTTCCCGAAGTCCTGCAACAGTACTGCTCCCACAGCGATGTCACTTGCGTCGGTGACGAGCTCGAACGGACGGTGGGGATCTGCAATGTGAAGGACGGGCGGGGAGCACAAAATATTTTTGAGGGCCGAGAAGGCAGCTTGCTCTTTCTCCCCCCACGTGTACTCAACCCCCTTCCTCAGCAGGTCGGTCAACGGGGCAGTCAGCTTCGCCATGTCGGGGACGAACCGGCGCACGTAGTTGACGAACCCCAGGAAACTCTGCAACTCGGTCAAGTTGGTCGGCGCGTGCCAAGCCTGAATCGTCGCAATTTTCTTCGGGTCTATTTCCACTCCCGCAGCTGAAATAACATGTCCCAAAAACTCTAGGCGGTCCTGCAAAAACTCACACTTAGATGCTTTGGTCAGTAGGCGGTTCTCACTTAGGATTTTAAAAACTGCCTCGATGTCGTGTAAGTGCTGTGCTCTGTCAGGGCTGTAAATCAGTATGTCGTCCAGATAAACGATGACGCACTTATCTAAAAGCGGGCGGAATGCTTCGTTCATGGTCATTTGGAAGGTGGCGGGGGCGTTGGTCAATCCGAATGGCATGACGGTGTATTCGAAAGACCCGTAGCGTGTTCGGAATGCGGTTTTAGGGCAGTCGGGTGGGTTGACGCGGATTTGGTGGTAGCCTCCTCGGAGGTCGATTTTCGAGAAGATCCGGGCTGTTCGCAGTTGGTCGATCAGTTCGTCGGCTCGTCGGATGGGGTAACGGGATTTGATGGTAACCCTGTTCAGTGCCCTGTAGTCGATGCACATGCGAAAACCCTCGTCCTTTTTTGGTGTGAACAGTATTGGTGCGGCGAAGGGCGACGAGCTAGGGCGAATGGTTTTTTTCTCGAGCAGGTAATCGAGCTGCTTCCTTAGTTCGTCTAGTTCGGGTTGGGTCAGTCTGAACTGTCGCTGTACTGTTGGCTGTGCCCCCGGTTCCAGTTCTATCCTGTGATCGTGCGGTCGCTGAGGTGGCAGTCCCGTCGGTAAGTCATCCGGGAAAATGTCACTGTATCGTGTTAACAGTGCTGCCAGATCACTCGGTACGTCGGTCAGCAGTTTCTGTAAATCCCCTCCTTTGTCTGCTGCCTCGGCTTCCCGAATGTCAACCGCGTACACGTCAGCTCCGGCCGCTACAGCGCGTTTCATCGTGATCGCATTGACACGCACCGACGAAGACCCAGGCGAGCCCCAGCGAGGTAAGGCGATGTTGTTACCGTTCACTCGCACGGTGCAGTCACCCGTCGTCCAGTCAATTCGCGGATTGTGTCGTCGCAGCCAATCACGCCCGAGTAAAATGTCGGTTCCGTCGAGGGTCGTTGCGAGCATTTCCTGACTAAACGTGAAGTTACCCCCGCATCGAATCCGAACTCGGTCTACACGTTCCCGTATTGCCAGCGGCGTGCCGTCTACCAGTCGTGCGTCGATCTCAGGTAAGCATCGGTCCAGTGGCAGTCGCAGTTTTCGTGCTGTAGCAGTGTTAATGAGGCTGTGGCTGGCTCCCCCGTCTACGAAGATTTTAACTAAGTCCGTCCCAACTTTCCCACTGAGCAGTATAGGGCTATCTACCGTGGTACCCTCCTTATTCGGCCGGGTGTGGTCGATTGCGTGAACCGGCACAATCACTCGGTGAGGGTCGATTGGGTCGGGCGAGCGGCGTGACCTGTCAGTAGAGGGCCCGTCTGCTACTGACTTCCAGCGTTTCCCTGCTGCTTGGTCTGTGTCTGCTGCTCAGCTTCCCCCTTTCCCTTAGCGTTTTCCGGGCATTCGCTCTTGCGATGTCCCGGCCGATTGCACACAAAGCAGCGCCCTTTGAACGGTGCGGCAGCAGCATTTGCGGCGACGGCGCGTATCGTGGCGCTCTCGTTCGTCCCACGAGGCCGATGTCCCCAGGTGTTGTTTCCGTAGGACCCCGGTCTCGGTCGGCGAAAGAAGTCGAGCTTCTCCGCCATAGCGAGAATTTCCTGAAACTCAGTGACGCCGCGAAGCTGGATTTCCTGAGCGATGTCCTGCTTCAGGCCGCCGATGTAGCGGTCGATGCGTTCGCTCTCATGCATGTAGCCCACCTGCTCGCATAGCGCCAGAAATCCGCTCGTGTAATCCTGGACGGAACCGAGTTGGCGCCAAGTGCGGAGCTTCTGTCGCGCCGAGATCGAGGCCGCGATTGGCTCGAATCGAGCGCGCAGACCTGCGCACCACGCGTCCCACGTGCGATACTGGGGCACCTCCACGAAATACGACGGCGCCCAGGGTCTGGTTTGTCCTTCCCGTGTCGGTAGTGTCGCGTAGCCGGTCGGCTTCGTGACGATGACGCGCCACCAGTCCATGGCGGGTCCTCGCAGCAACGACACGGCGTATCGAATCTTCGCCGAGTCCTCCGAGACGTAGTTGGCGTCGAAGAAGACATTCATTGTGAACAACCACGCCTGGACGGTAGGACCACCCCGTTGACTCGGGTCAAAGCATGGCGGGCGCTGCGGCTTCAGTGGCATCGGTGACGGCAGTCCCGAATCGTGGGTTGGTGCCGAAATCGTGACGCGAGGCTGACTTGGGGCCGCAGGCGTCGCTCTGGGGTGTGTCGTGCCGTGGTCGTCGTCTCCGTCGGGGCGGACGACGCCATCACTGGCCGCGCTCGCGGGTTGCCCCACACTCCCGTGTTGTGATGTTGAGGGTGCGGGTTGAATCGGAGTGCCAGGTGCTTGAGATAGTGCTTGTTGTGCCCTCATGAGGTCATTTTGCAGTGATGAGCGTTCTGCCGTCAATGCCGCGATTTCCTCGGAGCTTTCGTGCAGTTGTCGCAGCAGATCGTTCAAACGCTCCTGCGTGAGAGTGGTGACGTCGATATTTTCGGCCATGACGAAGGGCGTCGGCTCGTCTTAGTCTAGGCGCAGTCGTGGCTGCACGCGTTTACGAGAGAACGCGAGGGCAGCGGCTCCTAGGGGCTAAGGTGCGTAGGTCCCTTCGAGTGAAAAATAAAAAGTTGATTTCCTGGTGTGCGGAGATGCGCGGTCCGAAAGAAAGGGGCTCTGATAACCAAGTGTTACGGGTGCAATGAATCGAAGTAGCGAGAATTGCACTAAGGTGTCAAACGAGTACAAAATGTGAGCGAAGGCATGAGCGAACATTTATACGCGAAACATGCAAAACGGTAACGCGGTGCGTGCGAGCTTGCTAGTGCTACGCTGGAGCGAGGCTCGGGCTAGTCCCGAAGCGTAGGCCGATACGGCCATGCCAGCAGTGCGGTGTTTGGCAAAACAGTGCGCGCGAAGTCGGCGAAGTTCCGTTAGCAGTAACGGACGAACAATCGGTTGTTGCTGTACGCGATGTAGTCGGCTCCGTAAGGAATGCCGAGAAAATTCCTTACAGGAGCAGAAGTGCAGATTCAGCAACTCCCACTATTTTCAGTCCAGATTTTTTCACCTTGGAACCTGGCCACTAGGATTTCTCTTCGTAATTTTCCAGGACCCACATTAGAATCTCGAACTCACCTTCCCAGCAACACGTCGTCTTTTCGGAAAGCACAGGACTCGCAAGTGGCTTCGTGCCGCTACGCGCAACCCAATCCAATCCTTCAGCAGTCATCGCCTCGTATCTGCTTCAACAACCGCCCGCCGCGCCCGTGCAATGTCGGCGGTCGACGCGGCGTGGCAGCGCCTCAAGGCCGCCACCGCGCCCGCAGCCATGGCGGGAAGCAGACTCTCCGCCGCTTCCGCCGCCGCACCTCCCGCACAGCCGCGCGGAGATGGAGGCGGAAGCGCAATAACCGCCGCTTTAGACGGTGGAGCGGCAGGTTCCGCGGATCTTGCGGTGCAAGCGACGGCGGGAAATCCGGGCGAGACGGTGAAGCTGCGCGACGCGCGCGTGGAGCTGATTCTGACGCAGCGGCTGCGGCAGCGCGGGGCAGCGCAGACGGCGAGCGGCGGCAGCGCGGCGAAGAAACCCGTCCCTGTGAGTGGCGCGCGCGAGGTTCAGTGCGGTGCTGCGATGTGTAATGCTTTGCTACCGCCACAGCCACAGGCTGCCGGAATCAGGCAGATCAGGTGCATAAGTGCCCCTCTCAACGTCCCCTAACGCTCCTCACCTCCACGTCGTGCCTCTCACACACCCCCCCTCCCCTCCCCACCTTCTGCGTCCTCCCTTCCCCCAACCTTCAGTCGTGGGTGTGGGACCAGGGCTTGAAGCCCCTTACCGCTCCTCACCTCGTGTCTCCCACACCGTCACCACCCCCCCCCCCCCCCCCCCCCCCCCCCCCCCCCCTCTCCCCACCTTCTGCCTCCTCTCCCCCTCCCTCCATCGTCCAGTCGTGGGTGTGGGACCTGGGCCTAACGCGTTGACTTTTGAGTCGACTCAAAAGTCATCGTCCAGTCGTGGGTGTGGGACTTGGGCCTAACGCGTTGACTTTTGAGTCGACTCAAAAGTCATCGTCCAGTCGTGGGTGTGGGACTTGGGCCTAACGCGTTGACTTTTGAGTCGACTCAAAAGTCATCGTCCAGTCGTGGGTGTGGGACCTGGGCCTAACGCGTTGACTTTTGAGTCGACTCAAAAGTCATCGTCCAGTCGTGGGTGTGGGACCTGGGCCTAACGCTTCTCACCTCCACGTCGTGCCTCTCACACCACCCCCCTCTCCTCCCACCTTCTGCCCGTCCCCCCACCCCCCAGTCGTGGGTGTGGGACCTGGGTCTGAGGCCCCTCCCACACTCTGCCCCCGAATCGGATGCTGCTGGCAGTGACGCGCGGGGAGAGAGGAGCAGCGGAAAGGCGGCTGGGGGAGCGGAAGGAGCATTGGGGAGTGCAGAGAGGGGGGGGGCGGGGCAGGCAGAGGGTAGAGGGGATGATGGGGTGCGGGAGGGGGGGAATATGGAGGTGGACGAGGGGAATGGTCGAAGGAGTGGGGAGGGGAACAAAGAGGGGGACGTGGCAAGAGAGAATACCACTGCTGCTGCAGCAGCAGGTGCAGAGCGGGCGGCAGCAGCAGCGGCGGCGTTGAGAGCGACACGGGCAGCAGCAGGGGGGGCAGTGGTGGACGACTCCAAAGTGCAGGTGCGTGCAGGGGGACAGGGGGATTAGGGAGCTTCGTCCTGGTACTTGTGGCGATCCTTCGAGCTCTTTCCGCTGAGCCTGTCCCTCACACCTCCCCATGATTTGTTTATTCAACTCTACTTGCTCTGGATCTTGATGCTGCCCCACTGCGCATTGCCCCCGGGCCTTGCCGCGCATTGCCCCCAGGTGCGGGAGGTGGTGGACTTTGCAGGGGAGGCGGTGGAGGTGGTGCGGGTGCTGGACGCGCGCTCTAAAGAGGCTGCTGCTGCCAAGCGCAAGGCCGACATGCAGGTGAGGGAGAGAGGCAAGAGGAAGGTGAGAGGCGAGAGGAAGTGCAATGAAGCAGCCTCTGCTGCATGGTGCAAAGCAGGTGAGCGCCCATGTTCCACTGTCGTCGCTTGCCCTTCACTCATGCTCTCAAGAGTGCTCTCCCTCTGCTGCTCCACGCCGCGTCTCCACTCCACATCCTCCCTCTCCCCTTCCTGGCCTCACCCCTCCTCGTTCTCTCTCCCCTCCCCGCCCTCTCCCGTCACTGCCCTGTCCCCGTCCCCCGCATGGCTGGCAGGCGTTGACATCGAAGGGGTTGGACGCCATATTGGCGCAGATGGAGAAGAAGAAGAAACTCAGCTCAACATCCGTGACAAGTCGCTGCTGCTCCACAACCCATCTTTACATCCTCTCTCTCCCCTCTCCGCCCTCTCCCGTCCCCCGCATGGCTGGCAGGCGTCGACATCAAAGGGGTTGGACGCCATACTGGCGCAGATGGAGAAGAAGAAGAAACTCAACATCCTCGACAAGTCACGCAAGGTGAGCGAGCCGTGCAAGGTGTGTGCCCGGGCTGAGAATGGACAAGTCACGCAAGGTGAGTGCACACAAGACAGGACGTCCTGAGCATTCTCAGAGTGCGCGTAATGCACGGACGAGAAGAGGTAGCCTAACGGAAGCGTGGTGACGGCGAGTGCTCAGTCTGTAAGAGATCCCAAAAATTGATTCCACGACACGCAGTGTGGTTGCAAAGGTACCAGAGAAGCAGTGTCACTCCCACTCATGTAGCTCTGCCCTTTCTCCCCCTCCAACCGCCCGCCCATCTTCCAGGACTAGAGCGAGCACAAGGAGGGAGTGGGTGTGGCAGTGCGGTTGGAGCAGTGCAGCACTGGCCTCTTGCTCCCTCTCACTCCATCCCCCCTTTCCCAAACCTCCCCGTCCTCTGCTGCCCACCAGAACTGGAGTGAGTATAAGGAGGGAGCTGGTGTGGTGGTGGAGTTGGAGGGGCATCGCAGGAGCACTGGCCTTCGCCTCTCACTCCATCTCCAACCACCCTTTCTCCCCGCCCCCCATCGCACAGGACTGGAGTGAGTACAAGGAGGGCACGGGCGTGGTGGAGGAGTTGGAGGAGTACAGGAGGAGCGGTGCCACGTACACGGAGAAGAGGGCGTTTCTGGGGCAGGCTGACCTGCGCGAGTACGAGCGCGAACGCGATGCCAAGCTGGCTGCGCAAGCCAGGAGAGCACGGCCGGGGGGAGTGGATTGAGTGGGTGGAGGTGGGTGGGGTGGAGTGAGTGGTAGAAGAGGGCTTTTCTTCAGCGGCTGGCCGGCATGCGCGAGTACGAGCGCGACGCCAAGCTGGCTGCTCAGGCGAGGAGACCACGGCCGGGGGGAGTGGAGTGAGTGGGTGGAGTTGGGTGAAGGTTGGTCGGGTGGAGTGGGTGGGAGAAGAGGGCTTTCTGGGGCACGCTGACTTGCACGAGTGCGAGCGCGACGCCATGCTGGCTGCTCAGGCCCAGAGACCGCAGCCAGGGGGAGTGGAGTGAAAGGGTGGAGATGGTTTGTGGTGAGTGGAAGGCGGTGGAGTGCGGCCTGGGGTGGGGAGAGGTGCAAGTCAGGAGTGCCGCCTGACTGGTGCTCTGTGCAGTGGAGGCCCGCCTTCGTGGGAGTGCTGTAGGCCTGTAACACATTCTGTAGAAGTGGGACTTGTTGCCTTCGATAGAAAATACTACATGCAGTTCGAATGTGTTTCCTCCCAAGGCAAAAGCTTCAGATTGAGGCACTTTACATGGAGATTATTGGAGGTTTTAACTGGGATGACAACAAGCCTGAGGGCTCTCAAAATCCTGAACCTGTGTTGCTATGTGATGTGATGCACTCTAACTTGTAAGGGCCGTTTATTGGAGGCACTAAGGCAGTGCCCCTATCAGCATGGCTGCTCACCCTGCTAAGCCCAGGCACATTATTACAATTGGACCCTCTACGCCTCTACAGGAGAACAATGCCTTCCGGTTCTTGTCTTCTGCTGCTGACCCCTTTCCCATCACAACACCACACCACACTAACCCACTCCACACCACACCACACCACAACACACCACACCACACCACACCACACCACACTGCACTACACCTGCTGCCTTCCACCTACCTGCATTAAACCTTCCCAAGAAAACCTTCACGCTGATTGGCGCTGCGGTAGGCGCAGCAGCCAACAATGTAGATAACGAGCAGCAGCAGCGACACGCCCAGGCATACAAACGCCACAATGCGCCACTGATCGCGCAACATCTTGAGGAAAGCAGCCTTGCACGTGTCGCACCCGTAGCACAGCTTCGTGGGCTCGCTGCCGTACACCAGGCAGTCGCCGGTGAAACTGCCAGTTGAGATCGTGGAGTTGACTGTGGAAGCAAGCGCGGCGGCGGTGGCTGCGGTGGCATTAGCGGCCGAGGTGTTGGTCGGGAAGGCTGCGCGCGAGGTGGCGGTGAGGGACGCGGAGGGGCAGGACTGGGGGGGATAGCAGCAACCGGCCTGGGGAATGGGCGGGTGTGGGAGGTCGGGTGGAAGATCAAGGAAAGAGAAACGAAAGAATGAGGCCTCGACTCGTGGTGTGGGTTCTAAGACAAAAGACCGAGCAACCACCATGAACCGGTGATGATAGCGATAGTGAGCCCATCTGTGGCACCTGGATAGGGGAGAGCGCTGAGGACGCAATCGTGTTTGTCTGGCTGAGCACGCCGCACGTGTTGCCCGCCGCGAGGCACGCCTGGATGGGCGCCCACTTGGACTGCTCCGTGACTTGGTTCTGTAGCCACGTGGAGAAATCCGTCGTATTCCATGAACCCACGGCCTTGTTCGACACCGCGTCCGCCGCCGCCTGGTTCGTCACGATGAACGCGAACGCTGCCGCGCGACAATACCGGATGTGGGGTTGGAGGAGCGTGAGGGAGGGCGAAGGGAACGGTATGTGACGTGGCTCTCGTCTACGAAAAGGATGGGTGCGCAGTGGAGCTCGCAAAGTTAAGCTTAAACAAGTGTGAGTATCGAAGTTGGGCAGAAGAGTATAAGAGGGCTTCGTGTTGTACTACAATCGTACCTGTGAATCCGAGGAGCACCCATATAGCGATGAAGACTACAGCGAGGTAGAGGAAGAGCAGCCATGCAATGTCGTTAACGGCGCCAATAAACCCGGCAAGAGCCACGGCGAACAGCACGCTGCCGGCGAGTATCAGCGGGATTCGAATGATCTGCACGCACTCTGTCGCGCCGGCGCTGCGACTCGACGGGAGGAAGGGACACGAATTGAAAAATAGTGGGTTGAAGAGTCTGCGTTAGAGGTTGCTGGCGTGGAGGAAATTCAGTCACAACACTAACAATCATAAGCATCCATACTCTTTAGCAGCTCCTCACTATCCATTATAGTTACCGGGTGGTCATCCATATGCCTGTACCGATGAGGACTATCGACAACAAAACGACTAACGCCGTCGTTATCGCCGTCAGCGTTTTCGCGACACCCATGGAGCTTGATTGCGATTAACTTGGACCAGAAAGATGTCACACACGGGATTGAATCTGTCGATACACACAGAGACTGGAGAGTGACCGGTGATGAAACTTTCAGGTGATAAAGTGGCCTCGAGGCTGTATGATATAGAATGGATGTCGAGTGCGAAGATATTCAGCTTTCCCATCGCAGTCCTCGCACTACGAAATCCGAGATCTTGGCGTCGTTTCTTTGAAGATTACGTGCGAAAGAAGAATCGCTGCGCACGCAAGGGCGAAGCGAGGAAGGCCAGGCCGACTAGGACAGCGACGACACGGCAAGAACGGAAGGACTGAGATGCATTCAAGGTGGTGAGCACAGCAGAGGTGGCCAGTAATGCAGCAGAAGAAATATACATTCCTTGATTCTTGCGCGCCACGAGATGCATTCAAGGGGGGCTCGATCGGAAATATTTGGGCTGTGATGGGTAACCGGGCAGAGGCTTCAAGACGACCTCCCATCCCAGGTCTACCGCTGTGTCGCTTTACGCGAGTTGTGTTATCAGCGAAATTCGTTAGGTTTCGCCTCGTGCGATGGAAAAGCATACTTTAATAATGTGGAGCAGAAGAGTCTGAGAGCTGGGGAGGGAAATCACGCAGGGAAAACATGTGAATGGTAACAGAAATGGGGCTCACTAAGAGAAGAGTGGAGTCCAAAAGTGTTTTGTAAGAAAAAACTTCAGATTAAGGCTACTATGTGGACATTAGAAGGGAATTCAAAGCAGGCCAACAAGCCTGACGAGTCCTCCAGATACTGAATCTATGGTGCCCTGTGGGTACCGTACATATGTGCCACCATAACTTGCAAGGGCCTTTTATTGGAGGCACTAAGGCAGTGCCTCTTATCAGTAGGGCTGCTCACCCTTCTCGGGCTGCTAAGCCTACACTCATTATTTGCACTCCTCAATACTACCCCTCCACTGGAACACTATTCCTTCCTCCCACTTGTGCTCTTCTCCTGCTGGATCTCTCTTCCAACCTCACCTCCCCACTTTCACCACAACAAAGCACCTCATCAAACCGCACCTGCTGCCTTCCACCTCCCTGCATCACACCTTTCCAAAGAATCCCTCCCGCCTCTTGGCGCTGCGGTAGGCACAGCAGCCAACAATATACACAACAAGCAGCAGCAGCGACACGCCTAGGCACACAAACGCCACCATGCGCCACTGGTCGCGCAGCGTCTTGAGGAACGCCGCCTTGCACGTGTCGCACCCGTAGCACAGCTTCGCCGGCTCGCTGCCGTACACCAGGCAGTCGCCTGTGAAACTGCCGGTTGAAATTGTCGAGTTGACTGCGGAAGCGAGAGCAGCGGCGGCGGCGGCGGCATCAGTGGTGTTTGCGGGGAGGTCTGCGCGCGAGGTGGCAGAGAGGGGTGCGGAGGGGCAGGACTGGGGGGGGTAGCAGCAACCGGCCTGGGGGAGGGGCGGGTGCGGTGGAAGAGGTCAGCTGGAAGGTGAACGGAACAGAAACGAGTAAATGAGAGGCGCTGATTTTCTAAAAGAGAAGGTGTAAATCGAAGCCGAAATAGTGAATAAAATGTGAGCGGCATGTGCTGGCACCTGAATGTGAGCTGGTCTGTGGTACCTGGATGGCGGTGAGCGACGAAGAAGCAGTCGTGTTGGTCTGGCTGAGCACGCCGCACGTGTTGCCGGCCGCGAGGCACGCCTGGATGGGCGCCCACTTGGACTGCTCCGTGACTTGATTCTGTAACCACATGGAGAAATCTGTCGTTTTCCACGAGCCCACGCCCTTGTTCGACACCGCGTCCGCCACCGCTTGATTTGTCACGATGAACGCGAACACTGTCGCGCGCGCACGCCGAATGGGGGAGGGTGAGGGGAGCGGTGTGTGACTTGGCTCTCATCTACGATGGATAGTTGTGAGAGCCGCGGAGCTCGCTAAGTTAATCTTAAATAAGTAGCGAAGGTGGGGTATCTACAAAAGGGACTTGAAATACTTTATATACCTGTAAATCCGAGGAGCACCCATATAGCGATGAAGACTACAGCGAGGTAGATGAAGAGCAGCCATGCGATGTCGTTAACGGCGCCGATGAACCCGGCGAGAGCCACGGCGCACAGCACGCTGCCGACGACGATCAGCGGGATGCGAAGAAACTGCACGCACTCCGTCGCGCCGGCTCTGAAACTCGACGGAAAGAACAGACGAAGCGAAAGGACGTTTGAACAGTCCGCGACAAAAGGTTCTCGACTTGAAGAGTTTTCAGAAATTGTACAAAAAGACATAATTCGATCTGCATGCGTTCATAACCTTACTAGGCTTCCTAGTATCTATGCAAGCTTACCGGGTGGTCATCCATATCCCTGTACCGATGAGGACTATCGACAACAGAAGGACTAGCGCCGTCGTTATCGCCGTCAGCGTCTTCGCGACACCCATGGAGATCAGTAAGGAGCAGCAGCTGGAGTGGTTAGAAACTGGAGGCTATTTCCGACTTAGAGAAATTACTTCAGAAGTGGATTGAAGTCTGAAGATATACACCCGGGAACTGGAGCGTGTCAGGCGAGGACAGAGATGCTCGAGGGTCGAGAAGACAAGATTAAGCCTCCAGCTCAATTTGCGCTCTGCGAAATTCGGAGCCTTGGCGTCGTCCTTTTATATATTTCGCACGAGGGAAGAAGCTTTGCGCACCAGACAGGTCTCGCGGCAAGGGCGGTGCGAGGAAGGCCAACTAAAGACAGCGACGACACGGCAAGCA